GATGGGGGGGAAGAATACATTGGCTGCCACCAAAATATACAAAACATGGAGTTTAGCTAGTTTTACTTAGCAAAAGCAACATTGCTGTTGTTGAGCCATCTTGGGAGCCACGTGCTGTAAATCTTTGGCTTCTGAAATAGTATAACTTCATTCCTTATTGAAAACCTTGGATCTAAGTGAAACTTTGTTTAGTAGTTTGTGTGGTGAGAGCTGTAGAATTTGAGTTTCACACTCTCTGTTAGTTTAAGTGGGAAATGCTGAGCATTGGTAGTTAGAAGTTACGCAGTAGGAAAGATGCTTGTATTATATGAGTAACTTGAAAATGCAGAAGCTCAGATTCCACTTGCAGCACCTAAGATTTACAGATTAACAAAATAATTGTATTGCTTGATTGTGAATTTAGATCTTTATGGATAAATACTCTGTTTTAAAGTTTATAGAGTAAATCAGATCTGCATTCATTGCCTTTGTCTGTTTTTATGCTTCAGGATGCATTTTGTGTCTGTATAAGAGTTGTAGCTCACTGCAATGGATTTCCTGGAGTCACTGATGCTACTTGCAGTTAATCACAGAAGTACTGCTAAAGCAATCGGTCAGCAGAAGATGTGAGTCATGTTGACCGAGTATGAGATGGCCATGAATAACAGCTTTTGCTACAAGCAAACAAAAATTGGTAGAGGGAGGCCACCCAGCTCTGCATGGCCTTCATGATTGCTGATTTCTGCTGACATGTTACCTGCCTTACTGGTGGTCTGAGACACGTCAGCTAGGCAGATGTGGTACTGGAGCCATGGGCAGACAGATAGCAAGAGGAGTATGAAGCAGTGGCACAGCAAAGGACTGCAAAAGCAGATGAGATGCCAGACTAGTTACAAACGTCTATTTCAATTTATGCTACCTTATCTGTGCTTGCAATGGTCTGTGTAGCATTGAGTTCTTTGCCAAGTGTATACAATACACTTAATTATCACTCTATCAGTATCAACTCTTAAATTAATTTTGCTGTTTTTCATGATTGCAACACTGAATGATTTATGCTTCACCCTTACTCTTCGCTAATTGTGTAACTCCTCATTGCTGAATTCGTCTTCATCTGTCCATGTGTTTTCCCTGTTTCTTTTGTACATAGGCTGTAATTTTGTGACCCTCAAATAAGCACATGAATACTTAGTCTTGTTGTAAGTCTGTCCATAAGTGTGATGGTCTTCTCTTTCCCCTAACGCTTAGCTCCCATCCCAGTGAAGCCTATAGATCATTTGATAGGTGAGCAGTATTTTTAAAGTAAATTTGCTCAAAACTCCCCAATTATGAGGATACATTGATTCAAGTTGAGTAGCGTATCATATGTTAATATGGTAAGAATATGATACATGAGTTGCATGAGGGAGACTTTTACCTTTCCTCAAAAGCACGATGCAGATAAAAATAGAAATGCTCTGAAGAGAGTCATTTTATAAAGTTAATTTGGACATGGTGTGAATGACCTGGAACTTCATGTAAAACAATCTGTATGCAATTATGAAAAATTACACAATGCCGACCTTTTTAAAATTACTTTGCTTAAGGAGATGACAGATCATTTTGGCCTTTATGTATTAACCAAAATTCAGCTTTTGTGTTAACAATAGAAATGCTAAGCTTTTATTTTCCCAGAGGTACTTAAAAAAAGTTTGATGCACTTATAAAAATAGGATAAGACCAAGTTATAGAAATCTAAGCCGAGATCTCGTCATGGTTTTATTTTTGCCTCCAGACTTTAAATACTTCTAATAAATGATATATTTTAAAGCATGAACTAAAAGCCTAGAGTTCATGTTGCTGCATTTGGAGCTGGGAGAGTCTTGTACACTCCCATACATTTTTTTAAGTATAGGAAACATGTAACTTTTTTAATTGCAAACCAGTTTTATAAGGAAGGAGAAATGAAAAGAGACCATTCTTCAAGCAACACAACTTCAGCTGCCTCTACGTGCATCTTTAGGAAAAAGTCTTAGTACACTCTTTAGGGTGTGTAGAAAATTTTGCTTATCTTATGAAATGATTAAAAATTAATCCGTATTCGTTTCTGAAAAGCTGGTCTTTTTTGGTAATTCCTTTCTCTTTCGAACTCCTAGATTGCCATAGATTTATTACTTGAATGAGTAATCGAGTGACATTCTTTCCAGGGGGAAATACTGTGGTTCTGCCTCCTGAATAATTAGCAGTAATGCTATTTATAAATAGTTTAAAATAGTTCTATGATTTTAGCAAAATAGTTTTACACTTTTAGCAATGTTGTTGCTGAAACAAGGATAAAAGTGTAGTACTAATATTAAAAAGACTTACTTCACTACGTTGTACATGCCAAAGAATAGGCAAAGTACAGCCCTCTCTCCTGGTTTAGTACATCTCTCTTTAGTGGTCCTTCAGTGAAATTTTTAGCTGGGTAGTATCTGAGCTATGTTTATTTTTACCATACTATTTAAGTTCATATATTGATGAAACCTACCCTTTAAGGATTTTGAAAATACAAAGGTAACATTCTTATTTTTCCAAATAGCTTATTCCTTTGTACAGAAGATAAATCTGTGGGGTTTTTTTTCCTGGTGTCAGTAGCTCTTGAAAAGGGGATCTGTATGGATTTATGGCTCTCCCTCCCTCCCCTCCTCCTCAGGAGGCAGTGCCGATTGTGTGGTAGGCCTGGTCTTTCCAATAAGATATAATGTCACTTTAGTGCTTTATATACAGAAATGACTCCGCGTTGGTTTTGCCTTGTCATCACTCTTTTGGACACTGGTGCGTGATTAAGCTTCTTCCACGGGCTGGCTACTGGCACTTTGGGCCCCTCCTCTTCATCCTAGTCAGGCACTGCAGCCCAAGGAAATTTAAAAAAAAAAAAAAATGCAAGGCACAGATCAAAGCAAGAGGGAAGAGGAAAAGGACAGGGCATTCTTGCCACAGTCAGGTAGTTACAGCTCAGTAAGAGCGGAGCACTCGCTGATTGACAGCTCTGCTATCAGAGTGGAGAAGGAAGGTGTGCTGTATTCCAGCTATGAACCTAAGGCTGGAAAGATTCTAGAATAGTAGTGCAAAATCAAGTGAATTTTATTTTCCCTTCCTCCTTTTTCGTTGGACAAATAACAAGACAGAATTAGTTAAAAGTGGCTACATCACATAAAGGCAGTTTCTCCAGAGAAGGGAGGGCTCCAGGTGACATTTGGAAGAATTCCAGAGGAAGGGCATAAAGGTTGTGATGTGAGTGAGCAGTTCTTGAACCATCTCTGGTATGGCTGCTCTAAGACCTTCTACCTTCTTCAAATCACCATTTGGGAAGCATTCCAGGAAAGAAAACCTTCCCTGCCCCCCCCCGCCTCCTTATTTTTTTTTTAATAGATTGAGACCACCTGTGTATCAACCTTCTTGTATCAAGGCTGATGTGACTGATAGAAGTTTGTAAATTTAGCTGTGAAGGCCTCATTATGAAGTCTTTGCACTTGGTTTTGTTACATAAATAAATTAAAATAAGCCTATAGAAATTATTAAAAGGTGTCTACTGTCCTGTGATGTGAAAATGAGGAGAAGGAGTATTATTATTATTTATTAGAACAATGGCCAAGTAGGTGGTGGTGAGCAGTGGACTGGATTTACTTGGAGTAGGCAAGTGGGTGTGACAAACACAAAAAACAATGGCGTGTTTGTACACTTTCTGCAAAGGTCTAATCAACTGGAGTGAGAAGACCTAGTACAAGACATGAAACTTGGTATTAAAGGAATATATATTATAATAATAATAACAACAACTTAGAGGAATGGGAGTGAAGCATATGCAGATCAGAAAAGGAGAAATACCAGGTGGTAGGGAAGCATTTGATATCCGACACAATCTACTGGAAAATAAAATAACCTTAGACTTTTTTTTTAAAAGAAATCACTTGGAAGAATTGGAGAAAGATTACTTTTATATATTAAGTCTGCAGTAGTCCTTGGGCTCATAATTGAGAATGGGTGAAGACCTCTGATTTTACAAGTGAGAAATATTAAGTATTGTCAAGACTGACAAGATTGGTTTTGCCTGAGATTATCTTCCCAGGCACAGCCTGGAAAACCCATACTACTACTAATAGTAATAAGATAGATTTTCTTTACCAGTCTCTACACTAACAAAGCACAGACTTGGTAAGCCAGTGATGATGTTTTAGGAGAGCTGCTTGAAGAATATTACTGGTTTTTTCACATGTGTACACTCATAGATTACCCGTTTAAAAAGGGAGAGAGGGGGCACTGGAAATCACATAAAATGCTGCTTATCTCCACCCACCTTTAATTTTGTATATTTTCTGTTAAAACTTATTTTCATTAAATAGTAATGACAAGCTTTATGGATGGATTGATTCAAGTTGGTGCACAGTCGGATGCATAAAAATATGTATGTAATCTAGGTTCATGACTTCAGCAGTGCAGTGTCTTAGTTTGACTAAGAAATTGCCAGGGATTTTAAGGTTTATGTGTGGGACAAATCACTGATTTGATCAGTCAGAAATTTCAGAATGTATGCCTCAAAAGATGAGTGAATGGGAACTTGTAAGGAAAGACTTAAACTTTGCTGAATAAAACAAACAATGTAAAAAGGAAACCAGGGACTAAATCAAAACTTAAAAGAAATGGGAGAAAAGTGCTTGTCAACACTATCTGACTCCTAAGCTATGTCTGCTAACAATTCTTTTTTTGGTCCTAAGGACAGACTTAGCAAAAGGATATTGAAGTGAACTAGAAAAGATTTATGTAAACATACAGATATTTGTATCCATAAATACATTTAAAGTGAAGTGTCTGTAATACTGGAATTGACTGGTGGAACATTCCTTATCATTGAAGCCAGTAAAGGTTCTTGCTTTGTCTTCAGAAACTTAATTTCATTTAAATCTTGTAACTGGAAACTATAGTGTCATGTTTTTATGTGTCTGAAAAGTGCATTCAAAAGCCTAATGTGATATTTGTTTCTCCCCCTCCCCCTCTTCTAGGAATTGGCTCTCCGTAGCCAGCTTCCAACAATGGAACAAGACGGTGGATCTCAAAATCCTGTGTCATCTCCTGGAATGTCTCAGGAACTGAGAACAATGACTACAAATAGTTCTGATCCCTTTCTGAACAGGTTTGTAGAAGTAGCTACTAGAGGGGAAAAAAATCAATTTAAAATTCTGTTTGGTACATGTAATAGTTTATTTTGAACATCTGTCTGTGCCAGAAGCCACAGCTGTAAATGAATCTTCCTTAAATGGCAAGTCTAGTAAAAGTTGAGAATTAAAAGCTGTCTCCTGTGGGAGGAAGTAGTCTGTTCAGACTTGTAGGAAGGTTTTTTTATTCGAAGTCATAACATGTTTGCCTCTGCATAACCTGTTGACTAACAGTCATTTCAAATTACTGACTCAGAAGAATTTGTGAATAACTTGCTGTGAGATCAAGTGAACTGTGAGGAACATTTAGAACTACACCTTGAGGTTCATTTTAAGGTTTCCCCATTCACCCCTCCTCTCCACGTCAGGTATTGAATTTAGCAGTATTTTTATTCCGTTAATGTTAAGTCTGCAAATAGTGGCATGTTTCATTTTAAATGCTGTGTTATTTTGAAGTGGGTCTTTTACTTCAAGACATAGAATTTTACAGTAGAGACTAGTCTTTCTCGTATAACTCTTTCCTTAATCCCTCTGAGTTGGAATGTTTGTTTTGTTGGAAACACTGTTCTGATTGGAGCTTGTAAATGCTTCATACTAACCATTATGAATTTGGAGAAACTGCTGCAGCTTGAGATAAGTCTTTTCTGTATTTTTTGCTTAGCATGCTGGAAAGAAAAGATGAAAATGGTAAAACAGTCAAATCTCCAAGCCACATAAACATTTAATTAATGGAGTAAAAATCTACTAACATTTCAGCAGTATCAAGTAGTTGATCATAAGTTGGAGTGGTTAATTCGTAGTTCTTCATTGGTCTGTATTTTGTCAGCATTCTAAACTGGTATCAACTCAGTATCCCCTATAATAGAAAAGAAAAATTATGTATTCTGTCAGAGTTCACTACTTTTCTGCGTTACCTTGAAATGTTAGCTTAACTTTAGGATGCTACTGTAAGTGCTCATGAAGTATAACAACAGGCTCGTCCTTCTCTTTGGCACATATTGTACTTGTGGAAAATCCCATAAAATTAATCTTGATTCTTTCAACGTAAGTCTTAGCTTCCATGTTTTTTGCCACCAATACAGTTTCAAACCTACTCGTAAGGTAAGAAGTCCACATCATGTTAGAACTGCATGATTTTGGACTAAGGCAAGCTTAAATAACTGCTGTAATTTTAGATGCTGAAACTTGTTAAAACCTTTGCTGCAATTATAAATACCTTCCTGTATTCTTTTAAATAACTTAATGTTGCTGATATCTCACATTTAGATTCTTCATCCCTAAAGATGTACTGTCATTATATGTAGCTTTTCCAGTTACTCGTATTCCATCAGCTTAGCTTAAGTTTGTTTCATTGTCTGCCTTTTCCAGGAGACTTCACCATCATTTCATATACTCTATCTTCAATCTAATTCTCAAAATTAGTAAAGTTTGGTGGATATGGTGCAAGAACATACCCTCCGTCTTGCCAGTGGAATCTGTTGTCATTCATATAGTTGAGGTTATGTAAATAACATCTGTTGCTCTTAAGCTTTTTCTCCTCTGCATGAAGTATTGTCTGTGCTAGTGTTGTGTGTGCTACTGTGAGAGCAGGACAAAAGTTTCTTTATCAAGGTACACAGTGTTTTGTATATATTGGGAGAAAAGCAAGTTAAAAAAAAAAAAAAGTAAAACAAGCCTTGCAGGTGGAGAAGAAAGTCGCAGTGTTTTGTCACTAAACTCCCTAAGGAAGTAAGTGGTATTTCCAAGTTTTGGGTAAGCCCTTCAGAAATACTTATCTCCTACACAGACAGATCTGATTAGAAAAATTGATTTTTTTGTTAGAGGGAGAGATTGTCTTCTGTGCAATTCATCCTCAGATCTGGTGTGAGCATTAACTGTGCTGGCCCTATCCCAAGCAATAAAAAGGCTTTCCCTTGACAAGCCTTTGTAGATAGATGATGGCCTTGATGTGTTACAGTAACATACTAGCTTGAATTTTGGGAAGACTATTGCGATCATACATTGAGATGAGGTATACTTTGAAATTTGTTCTTAAATGATGTAGAATCCTCACATCTTCCAAACCTGTTTTCTGACCTGAAAGAAATGCATCTAGAGGTTTCAGTTGGCCATGGCAGTGAACTAATGCGGTTTGTCCATTGTGAGCCCACACACATAAAATACAAAATGATGGATCTTTACCATTAATTAGAAACAGGGAAGAAGCTGGAAAGGGCAAATCAGTGTTGTTTGTAGTTTTTTGGCAGGTTGATAATTAGCAAGGATTATTTACCGTAAAGTGCAAAAAGATACTACTTGCCTAGTTGCAAATATGTTTAACTGGGCTTTTTTTTGTAGCCCTTACCCCAGCAAAATACTGAAAATCTGTACCTGACTTGAGTTCAGAATATCTTAATTTGCATTTTGGTCTGACCATTGTCCCCATCTAGGTAAAT